CCCCAAAACCCCAAAACCCCAAAACCCCACACATCTAGTCTACTATAGAATAAATTTGTTATAATAAATGAAGAGTTTGACTGAGTCAATGAAGATCGATGATACTTGCATCAAAGAGTAAGTTTAGCACCAATAACTAAGAAATTACCTTAGAGTAGACCTTCCAATAGCTCCATTAGTCATTTCTATGAAAAATAGCGTCTGAGCGGTCTTTTGATACATTTTTGAATGGAATTTTGAACTATGTGAGTACATGTATCCATATTTCTATATTCTCTACCTACTTTATTTATGAAATCTACAGAGTTCAACAACCATAATTTGGAAGATCTCAGGTTATTTACAAAGTCCAGAGAGTGTATACCATTAAGCGAACCATTGTTTGACATTTTGATACTTTGAGTTAGAATTTTATGATATGAGAGGAATAGAACAAATTCTGATTATAGCCCATCTGTGGATAATTAATGTGCCCAAAAGATATCCCTCTCTTGCTAATTGGCTGGTTCTCAATCTAAGCTAGGCTAAATTCAAACATTTTGCGGTTACAATTACTATGGCTGAACTTACATAAAACTTTCTCTGCTCTGACTGATCATCTAGGAAAGAGAACATGATCTTACTTGAAAGTGATCAAGTCGAGAAGATGGCTAGAAACGCCTATTATTTCCATTGTTTTAAAGAGGAATTGGGCTACCTGAAGCTTTCTGATTGGCATATTATAAAGAAGGCTTCACATATGAATTTCTATTTCCAGCAGAAAATATATCAAAACTTTGTGAAGAAACAGAACTTCCTGGGATCATCTACTTCTAAGTGCTTTAACTTGTTTCAAATGAAAACTGAGGGTGAAAATAATGTCGATTTTCTGAACTTTTCATTTCCCAAGAAGATGACTAGTTTATACATTGACTCCAACTGGCTTCCTTTGTGGAGCATTTCTAATGTCTTAGAGTCAATCACAAGAATTAGCACAAAAGTGCTAAATAGGATGTGGATCTATAACTTTAGAATTGATGCTAAACAGTTTAAGAGAGTCATGGTTGCGTATAAACATGTTAAAAGAATACATATCCACTGTTGTAAACTCTCAATTCCTAAAGCTATTGACTTTTCCCAGTCTTTAAGAAATACAAAGATCAAGGAGCTTGATTTCTATAGATCAGGAAGTCCCAACTACTCTGACTGGAGAAGCAATCCCCAAGAGTTAGCATACCTAATCTAAGGGTTAACTTCTTCTCCAGATTTGAAGCAAAGTCTCAAGAATATACTTGTTGCTGACTGTGGGATCCGAAAGAGTAAAATCGCAGATATTCTGAGGAAATATGGAACTAATGATATTAAAATTTTGGCTTAAAATTTACTAATTTTGAACATTGTTCATAATCCCCTTCAAAATTTGTAGAATGGTTATGGATTCTGAGATTTATCGAATCTAAACTATATTTCAATCACGGGGGATGACCTCAATCGGAATGATTATATATAACATTGGGCTGATTCTTAAGAAGTGATGTGGACTAAAATGAGAAGGAGTGCTCAAAATATTGGGCCACTCAGTCTTATTTTTGTGCATACTTGCTTCTTGAGAATCAACCCAGTGTTATATAATAAATAACTGATTAAGCATGGAAGAGGTGAGGGAGGCAAAAGGGCAAGTTTGGAGGAAACGAGGGTATTAAGTGCTAAAAATAGACTATATAATTAGGTCATTTTAATCATTATTGTATTAAAATATTTTTCAATATATCAAATAATATCCGGGGTTTTGGGGTTTTGGGGTTTTGGGGTTTTGGGG